TTTGCAGTATTTAATTTTTATACAGGTAGTGATTTGTAAAATCTTTTTTCCCAAACTACTGCATCTTGTTGTACATACTCAGGAGGGAGGATGGTAATAGAGTATTCGACATGAACTGTAAAAATTTTGTAAGCAAAAGAAAGTAAGTGATAAAGAAAAACATAAAATATTCTTGGAGCAAACTCACATATTCTGCATTCTAAATATAGAGAATACAGATGTCAATGAAGAACATTATGAATAGTAGGTGGAAGAATTTGGAGATATCAATCCATGAAAATTAAAAATAAGCACTCATCCTACAGACATCAAATCCCTTTCCCAAATCAACAATGTAATAATTCCAGTTTTGAAAGTTCAGATATATATGTCATATGGGGCATAAGAAGTGAAAAACTGCAATAAAAATAATAGTTCAATCTTCAACTACTAGATGGTGGTTTTCATGAAATGCAAAACGTTGTTTTAATTAATTGTTCGCAAATTAGGAACTCTTTAAAATGTCAGTACTCAATGAAGCAAGATCATTCTTTAGCATGTCCTTAAGGATAAATGAGCAAACTTTAGTGGTAAAGTTATTTTATGAGAACTGCAGCAAAGTTTATTTAGCTGAATTGTGAAAATATCATTGTTTGTAAGGTTGCAAAAAGGAACTAAGATGAAAAATGGTTTGAAGATGATGATAACCAAGTTTGAAGAGACTATGCTTTCAAATGAAACTGTGAAAGAAGTTGCGGTTGCCATGGTTAACAAACCCTCCTTTTCCTGATATTGTTGTATAAGTGCTCAAGCAGTTTCACGATTTGTTTGTCCCTCATATTTAAAGTATGAAATGTTCGTGATTCATTTTAATCCATACAAGACGCACAAATGCAAAAGCTCCACCCTCAAGACTCCCATCAATGTACTGGTTTTTACTTGCTGGCTGTTGGTGTGAAAAGCTGTTGATAATGCATTGCCTTAAAACATTTTGTGATCAAACAATGCACATTCAACCGTAGACAGAGAATTGAATACTCAGAACTCTTACATAAGGAGTTACTGAAAGTTCCAACATTGCGTATAAACAGCCTCTGTATTCCGATTACATGATTTTCTGGTGAAATTTTACTACAGACTTCATTCTTTGAAGAAAGTCCTCCTCAGAGTCCTAAAGGTATACCATTATGTGCACTCATTACTGTGAACTTCTGTAGTAGCGAGTCATTGCCGTCTTATAAGAATGATAATATTTAGACTACTATTTTCATACAAAGTGGTGCAAAAGCCCATATTGGCTAAGACAAAGAACTGCTTTGTACTCACTTTGGAGATGACTGAACAATTCTGAGAAGTTTTACAAATACCTGTGAATCCCCTTGATATTTGACTGTAAGAATTCCTGAGAGATTGTGTCTGTGGAGGAAGCATTCAGACTGAGGCTGAACTACACGTAATAGCAAGCACAGCATGCACTGCTGTTGAAATTCCTGAAGGACCCCTTTGTGCTACTGTTGAACATTCTATAATTAATTTAAACATGTGATTGATGCAAATGGAACGCACACTGATATTTGTTTTTCGTTTTTTGTGCACCAACTTTTCAATCATGATGAAAATTTGAACTATTATTTTTTATTGCAGTACCCCCCCGGCTCTCAATATAAAGCAAGCACAATTTCACCGAAATACATCAAATGGAATAGGCTCTATGTAGGTCTGAGTAGGGTCACTGATTAAAACAACCCTGCATAAAAAACAGAATTACACAAAACAGCATTTCATTTATCTGGCTTGCATGCAGATCCTTGCATAAATCATTTTATTTAAAACTTTTAACTGTCATTGTTTACCATTACTACTACAGTAGAAGTCCAGAAATCCGCAATGCTTGAGACCAGAGGTTGTGCAGATTTTAGGATTTTGCGGATTTCAGGACAGAAAGATATATTAGATTAAATGCAAATAAAAGGCTATTAGTCATTTCTTTAATTATTATATACTAATTAATATATGCATTAACTATTATTACTTAAAACGAGTATATTATATTGTTCATTACATTAGCTCCTCTATTTAAAATTACATAAATCTGCTTCCCCTTTCTCTCCGGAGTATCCTGAATAGGTAACCCATCACCGCCGCTGCCGAACCACTCGTACAAGACAGCATCAGGTTTGCCGAATTCGCCTCATGTAAAGATTCCGATTTTGGATCAGTTAGATCCTGTTGACGTAAATGTAACAGTTTTTTCTTTATTGTTCGTATATCGACACAGGCCGTGTGGCAGTTCATACAATCCTACAAACCGACAGTAGCACCTGCCTCCATCTTGAGCACAATTTCCACTTTTTTCATTACCGTATGCAAACGTTTTAGGTTTCAACCTTGCAAGCAGTAAAATCCGGGTGCCTTCTTATCTGTTGTTTATAAACGCACTTAATTACAATTTCTTAAATTATCCACAAAGCTGGATAAAAAAGTCGACATCACGAACAATCTCATGCCTCCAAAGCTCAAAGTACACAACGTGAAGCGTTACTGAAAGAAGGTGATTAATCGCTGCTTCTTTTTCTTGATGAGATTGACGGAAAAAACTTTATCATGATGTCAATATTTGGTATTTCCATTATGACTCATTATTTCGTAATTATACGTCATATCCAATAATTTTTTTCTTCCGATTTCGTACTCCTGTGCGGTTTTCGGAACCTATAAACTAAATGTTTATATTTTGAGAGGCAGTGCGGATTCCAGGTCAACAGATTTTCTGTATTTGACTGTACTACAAAATCCACCAAACATGCTTAGCCAGAAATTACAGCTTAAAAACATATGCAAGACAGGTTGGTTTGATTAATTATGGCAAAGCACAAATGTGATCTGCCTAGAAAGGAAGCCTCTATAGAAGACTTCCTAAGGAAGAGTAGTTGATACCTACATTATGCATGAGCAAAAACCATATAAGCCTAACTATCCAGCAAACTGTTCTGTATTCAGTGATAATACTCACTTGGCCATTGGTGGGCTTCCTAAGAACAGACACACATATCTTGTCACAAAATCAATAGACTGATTGAATGCTATATTTATCTTTTTAAAATTTTATAAATTTTTATCTGGTAAAAGTAATTTACAGACATTTTATACAAAAGTGACAAAAGTTCTAATTTTAGAACACGGTGAAACCTACGTCAAATTGGAGGGAGGAGAATTCATGATAAAAGTGAAGTATTTTTTATTTTATATCTTATATTTTAATGAACCTGTAAAAGATACTATGCATGCTATTTACTGAACTAACATGTGTTATGAAACAAAAGAATGAAAAATATTTTAGTGAACAATTTTATTTACAAAGGTGAAGAGCAGTTTAAAAATATTTTCATACATTATTTAAAATATTCCATTATATACACTACCACATTATCCCAACACTAAATCAAAATATTTCAAATTCTTATTAATATAATCTTTACTTAAAAAAATACTACTCTATATTCCTGTTAAATGTTAAGAAAATTATGGTTAATTCACATTTGTTAAAAGACCTATGATTAATTTACAAAGAAACTTTCCCACTTAGAAACTTTTTAATTTGTTAGCAATAGATTAATTTAGCTTGAATAGCTGAGATAAGTGAACTATCTTTCTTCCTGATAAGCCTCGATGACAACAACAAAAAGGAAACTTTGGCACATACTGTAGCTGCGTGCTGCTTTCTTAACTTGGAAAATGGAATGATGCCGGTATCGAATTCGTTGATCTAGCAGATGGACTGTGTAAAAAAAATACAATAAAAATAAATTGTATAAATGTATATAGAAGCATATTTTTTAATTATCAAATTAAAAAATTATTAATATTTATTACAACAGCCTATATTGACTATTAAAAAGTATTGCTATTTTAGTTCATTGATATGCTTTTATAAGCAACTATCACTGCAGTCTGATTTAAATTACTATACATATTTCTGCTTAGAAAGCTAAATGGCATCATGTTTGATGTGCATAAAATTTTCAGGGGGAGAAAGCTATGAAGTATAATTGTTTAAATAACTGATATTAGAAAGGGAATATAGAATTTATATAGTACAAAAAGAAAAGTAATAATAATAAGCACACATCTACACTGTACAAGATGGCTGAAGTACGTTGCTTTAAGCAACCAGTCTCCAAATTGCACACACACATTAAAATTTGAAGATTTCACATGCTGGACTGGTGCAATACAAAGTTCATAATTCTAAGTAGTTGAGCACCTTAACTGCTCAACCAATAACAAGATTCACATCACAGGTTGATTATACCTGAAACAGGTGTCAGCAAGCCAGAGTAAGAATTCTGAATCAGCGAGTGCTCATGCTACGAAATCTGCTTTGATTTCAATTACTGGAACAGCATATTACTAAATTTATAGCAATGTTCAGAACATTTTAACACAGTCTAATAATTTTATATGCATATTTGATAAATAGGTTCAAAACTCAAAACTGCAGGCATTCAATTTGGAATTTTGTGTCTCCAATAAGCATCTCAATAATCCAATAGTAATTATAGAAAATTTAATTTTGAATTGCAAAAAATTACCTTAGTTTTTGTCAGACTCATTTTTAACCCTCCAGAATATATAGATCATTATCTAAGATGGAAGGTGAACATCTAAAAAATTTTTGTTACCTTTTTATGCAGGAAAAAATGGACAATGAAAATTAATATATTTTAACATGTAGAAATATAACAAGTAATTTTCATTTTAATTTATTTGATTTTAAAAATCGGCTTTTTCTTTTTAAGGTCTAGACAAATAAATTTGATTATGCAAGAGATCTCATTATTTGGTATGTGTATACACTACAAAAGCACTACTCATTTATTTACATTTCTCAAATGTTTTCACCAAATATCTTTGCATTGGGAAACTGTATTGGTAGTAAGAAGTTGAGAATAACCAAACAGCTAGACCTAAAAGGCTACCTTGTTTTCAGATAAATCAGGATACTGGACATTAACATAGAAATCAACAGCTCATTGTCACACGATATTGAAATGTATCACCACTCTAGACCTTCAAGTTTATGAATGTCTTGACACAAATGCATATTGACTAGAGAGCTAATCCACATCAAATGTTATGTGATGTAGTAGTTATGACATCATAGTACTCATACTCCTGCGAGTATGCAATGGCTTAGTCAGGGTATGTGAAAAAATTGTTAGTGATATACAAAACAACAATGTATTATAGTAAATGCAGTTAAGAAAGCAAAATATTCATAGAGTTTAAATTTGTCATTTAATAAAAGGTTAAAGTAATTGCAATACCATTACTGATTTAAATGCATACAAAAGCAATGCAATTCAGATTAATCTACTCAGACTAACCATACAAGTCAATTCCTTATGTATGGCATTTCAGCTATCCTTTCCTGTATCCCTATTACATCCCATTAAACAACTAGAACCCATTCATATTTTCAGTACTGAATGTATCATCAAATGAGTTATGTAGTTTCGTTTCTTTCTTAACAGTTCTGAAATTCAAACTAATCTGAGTGAGAAGATTTGTTTTAAATCAATTTTAATTCCTTCAGAATTCTTGACTGTAAAATGTTTATATAGAAATGGATAATGGGTTAAAAGCAGATCTTTCCCATAGAACTGAAATTACTGTGAATAACATGATTTGGCATCTGAACCAAACATAATCAAGCAATCACCAGATCTACCAGTTGAGAGATAGATGGGAGAAAGCTGTTACTTTGATAAGAGATCAGCAGACTCATAGTAAGAACATTCCTCCAGAGAAGAAAAGTTATTCCTCCAGAGAAGAAAAGGTATTCCTCCAGAGAAGAAAAGGTGTTCTGAAGTGTTTCCTATTCATCTTCCTCTATCGACTTCCCTAGGGAAATTTCAGCTTGATGGTATTTAAAATGCCCTCACTCTGCAAAGTCATTATATGTCACAAAAATACATGCCTTCTCCAGAATTCAAACCTAGGTGTTGTGGCAACCTAGGTGTAGCATAACCTATTCAAACCTAGGTGTAGTATGTGGGAAAATTACCAAATGGAAGTATGAAACCTTCATCAGTGTTACATCATTTAGAAACCAAACACCCAACTATAAAACAAAAAGAATACAGCTTTTCAGCAACTGTCTAAAGCCATTATTGTGAAGTTATTATCTATTATCAGCTAACACAGGTACTAAAAATGCACCTGAAGTGCCCTACAAAATAAGGAATCGTGTTTCTAATAATGGTAGAAACTATACAACTGCTGAATATTTGATAGCTCCCTTCATTAGACTCCTTACTTTTCAATAGATTACACAGAAGTTCAATATATTTAAACAACTCATTGCTCTTGAATGCACGTTTGGAGAACATGTTTGAAAAATTAACAGTACTCACTTCTGAAACAATATCGTTCCTCGGAGAATCAAGAACATGTCTGATGATATCAAATCAACAGCAAAATGCAGAATAAAGAATGTTCCATTGTTTTTACCTATACAGCTTGATGACAGCATCGATTTATCGAACATTTTGATCCTGCTTCTTGCAAGATATATAAATACTAGAAGTTTCGAGGAAAATCTTTCACTGCCTTATCCTGTCACAGAAAGAAGATGCACAGGGGAAAGCATTTCTAAGAATGTTCTTTCCATGTTCTATCATTAATGATTTCTTTAGGGGAATGAAAGCTGACTGAACAAACTGCTCAGGTATTAGTAGCACAGTAAAACCATGGCAGGATGTTACAGAAGTTTGCAAGGATGCATCAAAGACTTTGTGCTATATGTGGCTTAGAACAGCGATTCTCAATGAACATGACAGCATGAATGTAGGCTGTGACTGATGCTAGCAATAGATCAACATTTTAGTATGTGCCTCAGAATCTGATTCTACAACCCACATATAGTCTTGGCATCTGGATACTTTTAGCCATATGCTGAATATCTCAATTGGTTGCTAATGAAAATAGCCTCATAGATGAACTGGTTGTTTTTCTTTGGATCATAAATATTGTTAAATTTCTATTTACACAATATTTATCATCAAAGCTGATGAGAAGATGCAGAAATTATAACTGATATCTGATGGTAAAGCAACTTGTACTTTTCAAAGGAATTCCTGAGGACTGCCTATTGAGGGAAAACATGACAGAACTCAAGGAAGATACAGTGGTAGTATGTCTAATATAAATCACAGAAGATACTGAATGAAATCTTGTAACTTAAAATTATTTCTGATCACTCACTGAAGTGATATAAAATGTAAAATTAACTACAGTTGGAACTGCAAAAAATTATTTATTCCTTTTGAATTGCTGTCTAAGTACAAAATCCATTTTCCTCATTATCTGAATTTCATGATAATAATGGCAATTTTTTGTGTGCCTAAAAATAATAAATCTTTCTATGAACTAACTATCCATGACATGGCTAAATTTTGGAAATCAATCACACAATGCTATAGATAGTGTACAGAATACAAAATAAACACTCCCAATAACTAACTGTTGCTTATACAAGTACCAGTAAACATTATTTTATGTCTATTATAAAATGTGACTGAGCAGTAATAAAGGTTTTTGTTGTTTTTATGCATATAAATTCTCTCTTTGATGGGGGGGAAAAACTGTTCAAATGACATTTTTCTCTAAAACAGCTTGGAAACTAATTTATAAATCACTAGTAAACTGTGCAGATAACACCTTTGTTATATGCATACTTTGTTGAGATAAAGAAAAAGGGTAATTTCTGATTATCCACACCCTCCACCACAAGGTCACAAACTCATTGCCAACTATGGAGAGTATTCACAAACTCATTTATGGCTAATTTTTCATGAAGCTAATGCACCACATTTAACAGACATTTTCAAAATGGCAGGACAATAAGAATTCCAAACAAGAGGAATAATCAATCAATAAAATTAAAAAACAAAAAACATCAGTAATAAAACAGTTACCTTTTTCTAGACATCCTTCTTTTTGTGCTGTTATTATTTCTATGTATACAACAAACTGTTTGCATTTAAAAAACAATAGAGAACTGCACAAACTTGGTATCTGTACAATTCGGCATTTCGCACCGGCCATAACTGATGTACTAAGCACATACCTAGGTTGCCACATAAATACATTTTGGTATGATCATGGGTTACCACATAAATCCTCACAGATACTTTTTCACACATTTTTTGGGGGGGAGTCAGATAATCAGAATGTACCAGAAAAATTTACCAGTAACAAAATGTGAAAGCGTTCCATATATCAACACAAAGAAGCATAGAAATTATAAATAATGTGGATGAAAGAAAATTTAAGTAAAGCATGTAACACAGCTTCATTTCTATACAAGGCCTATGTTAAGCAATAATGACAATGTATGTATGTCATTATACTACATTCAGTCATTAAAAAAATCAGAATCAGTTTTTAAACTGCTTAGCCAGCAAAAAACAAAAAAAAAAAAAAAAACTCATTACCTTGGAAGAGGTGGCGTACGCAGAGTTGGCGTCCTAGGTGGAGGAGTGGATCTTGGAGTTGATCGCTTTCTGTTTTTGAGTGTTGAATACTAAGTAATGTTAAAAAAATGATATTAAAAATTAGTATTTTGAAAAAAGTGTCACAAAGTACTGCTGAACAAAGTTTTTATGAGAAAATATTAAAAATGAGGCAGAAACTGATGCTGAGAAGAAAGGTAACAGTGGACTAGATTGCTAAAGGAAACATGGGAGTTGACTGATTGCTGATTTCATGGACATGATGGCATAAGCTTCATTACAAAATACAGTACAAAGTCCTAAATCCGGACTCGTTGGAACTTTGGCAATTCCAGATTTAGGATTTTTCCGGATATTAGATCATCAATTTAAATCTGGTAATATGGCATTCAGAAATTATGCAATTAAAAATATGAAATCGTAATTTATGAAATAAAAGAGCAATTATGATCTAAAGGCTATCACAATAAGTTTACAAAACAAAAAAAGCCTTATTAATTTATTTGTTTTACTTTAATTAAACATTTCCTTCAATGTAATTGTTTAAGTCGCTATCTTTTTTGTGCTAATCTTTTCTCTTTTAATTTCTACTAACGACATAATTTCTTGTTCAGTGAAATTACAGTTGCCCCATTCCACTGTTCAAGTCCTGTAATTGCTGGGTCGAGAATACCGACTAACTTGTCAATTAAAATTTTTTCGTTTTCAATTACCTCACTGTCACGTTCTTCACTATTGGTATGGGTATTTTCTGAATCTAGAACTATACTACAGATTTTGCTGTCTGTTGATTGATGATCGGGGCATTGCCTTTGCAATGAAAAACTTCTGTTATATCATCTTCATTTATTACTGCTTCTCCCCATTTCTTTACAAAATCCATTATCTGGAAAATTTCACCTCTAGTTTACGATATCTGAAAACCTTTAAATTCGTGGCTATCATCTTCATTGTCCTCACCATGAAATACGGTAGCTGGCCATAAATTATACCAAGCATTTTTTAACGTATCTGGAGACACATCCTTCCACAATCTTGCGATGCTCCACACAGCAAATTTTATGCTAAAATATTTCAAAAATTCTTGAATAGTCTTGCCATTGTTCAAGAAATTTAGGATGGATTTTTAAAATGCTACTATTTTTATATTTGCATTTCAGTGCGCGCACTATTCCGATATCCATAGGCTGAATGACAGGCGTACAAATTTGGAGGGCGAGAATATATGGATACTTATCGTTCACTAAACTTTAAATGAAAGTAATGAACCGAACAGTTGTCTACATAAGAACTATGTTTGAGTCATCAGGTAACCAACCGAAGTCAAATGTTCCCGATCCTTGGGTATAAAAATGATTTTCAAAACCAAACTGCAGGATATATTATGAGAAAAAGAATTTACTTCCTTTAAATCTCACTTTGGGGCATTTTTTCCAATTACAAAAAGTTTTGCATATAAAAAACGCTCATCCCTTAATTTTGCCACTCGGTGCGTCCCCACCAAATTCCAAAATTCTGCTGGTTCGGTGCCGCATATTCCCTGTCTGGCCGCGCTTCTGGCTTTATGGTGAATAACATATCAGTTATTCTTAATTAAAATAGCATTAAATGTAATCTTTTGGCCTATGAGTTTCATTAACAAAATCTATTTTAAGCATATGAAAAGAAATTTTTCTTGATTTTTTCCTCGTAAGCATTTCTTAGAGCATTTAAAAATCTATAGTCATCACCAAGCGTAATGTTAGCATAAAAGGTTTCCATACTCGTTAGACATCGCTCCATGAGTTATTACTGAAGCTGTCATGTACATAAACATGTGGTGGCAAAAGCAAAATATGTATAATAAATAATGACTTGCCAGGTCGGCACCAGGGATATAATGGATTGGATTGGATTATTTAATTATGGCAAAGCACACTAGGGCTATCTGCCTAAAGGGAGGGATGCCTTGTTGTGAGGACCTTTTTTCGAAGAGAATTGCTTTCGTATACACGTTACACATGGGTAAAACCACGAAAAACGGACCATGAGCCAGTCTGGTTCTTGGATTCAGACTACACTACAGTGTTTTCCAGCGTCTTACCGCTGGCTGCTGGTGGGCCCAGGGATATACATAGGTGGAAATGTCGTTTTGAGATTATGCCAATCAGACACTCACTATGGACCAAGATTATTAAATCTCACAAATGTATACTTAACCTGATTGATTTTCCATACAAGTATTTTATTTAGTGCCCAATGAATTTGGAATCAGAATTTTTAAGTGAAATCTCATGGTTTCATTATGGAAGGAAAAAAACAATTCACAATGGCGTAAGCATACAAAAAAAAAGTTTGTGGCTTAGAGGTCCGGATTTTAGATCATTCCAGATAATGCATCCGGATTTTGGACTTTGTACTGTACATATTTGGGACAGAAGAATGTGCTGCTGGCAATTCCATATTATTAACCACTGCAATGTTTAGTAATATGGAACTGTTATTTATCTGTTTCATTTGACTCGGCCAACTACGAACAAGGGATAAGTCTATATACCAATTTTGAAATATGAAAAACTAGGAGGTTCTTGAATGAAAACTGGGAGTTTCTGGGAGGCTTTTGCACTGAAGGAAAAATTTCGAAAGAATTCCAAACTGACTTAAATTCACTTTCATGATTCAAGTTATTTATCTATTTAAAACGTGATTCTATTGTAATTAATAGGAAATTAAATATTCTAAATTTTATATTCTTTGGCTAATATTCTGTAATTTTCTGACACTTATGGAAAAAATCCCGAGTATAAATGGACAGCTTTCATTTACCTAAGTATTTTTAAATGCAATAAAAATAAAATTAATAATAATTAATATACATACTATTATATGGATAAACTATTTATTGATGCAAAACAAAATTAAATACAAATATTAACCAAGTAAAGTTTGTTGCAGTAGATTCAATTCAGATGAAATAAAATTTAATATGAAAAAATATACTTAAAACTGCTAGGGTGTGGAAGGATGAAATCTGCACTATTTGCTTCATTAAATGAATAAGTTTCATTTATTGCTGAGAAACATTTAAGTAAAGACTTAATATGCAAAAACTAGGAATTTCAGGATGATCTACTGAGAGACCAGGAGATGTGATGAAATACCAGGAGAGTTGGCAGCTATGAATACTTTGATATCCATTTAATTTAAGGCGGAACAGGTAGTAGTGGATACTCAGTGCAGCAGATATAGCAGCAGCAATATCGGCAGCACAGCGGAAAAACCAGCACACCATTTTTGCCAAAATTGACTGTTAATTAGTCACTGTGGGCTGTGCAATGATATTTGTGGCTGTCATTTCAAACAATCTCTTGTCGTTCTGCTGATGAACTCTGCACCACAGGCTAAGTTGTAAACATACTGTGAAATAAAATGCTTTTGTATTTAACATAATTTTTGGGGGGTGGAAGGGTTCCCGCTCTGATGTCAGACTCTACATAAGTATTTTCCACATTGACTAAACAAGGTTTATGATACCATGTTCCAACTCAATTTATTGTTTCTCTTGATGTTTACTGTCATCCCATTTACTGCTGGGTTTGTAACTACATTAATAGAACACCTAATATTCTGTTTACTAACTTTGATGATCATATAGCAGATAAGATAAATCAAGATACCGAAAACACACCTACTTATATCATCTTATCCAATTTATATGTGCCATTATAACATATGAATGAACTAACGAATTTTGAATATTAAGTAGTTTATTATGATACTGAATTAAAAATTTTTCTAATAATTGTTGATGACATTAACTTTAATATTAACATTTACTAACTGCACTGATATCAGAATACATCAATGAATGTATTTTCAACACATCTTTAACATACTTGGATTACTTGAGTCAATTATTCAATTAAAACAATGGACATGAGGGTTACCTATCCAAGCTCTAACCCAATTTTCATCCGAGAGCATCCAGATGGATTTTGTACTCCTTGTCCCTTACCACCAAATCCTCAAGAGAACTTTTAATTTTGAGTGTTCCATTTCACAAAGGCACTATACACTAACAAATATTAATGACTTAACCATGATTTAAAGTTGAACTCAATGCAGCAATTCAGCCTCCATTAAAAATCACAATCCAGTGTAGTCTACATTTGAGTCATTCTTCATTTTTGCATGATAATACCTATGAATTTTGCCAAATCTGAAATTTTAGGAAAGAGCACAGTGACCCTTAACAAATGTTTTCCATTAATATTTTCTCAGTTTTTTAAAAATACTCTAAGTCAGAAAATAATTTAGTGCTGATTTTCAAACTTTAAAAAAAAAAAAAAAAAAAAAAAATTGCAACAACTCTCAAAGACTATATATAACACATAAAATTTTCCCTAAAGGTAGTTTTGAAACATCCCTAATTATTATATTAAGTTTAATTAAAAACTGCACTTTGCTTGCAGCAATGAAGCTTGTAGGATACTTGAATAATCTTTTATATACACTGCAAAGAACACATTTCAAATTTTAAAACACAACAAATTGTAATTAAACAAAAACTCACAGGTGAACTACCCCTTGAGAAGTTCATGTTAGTATATATCAGTAACCCAATATCTTTATGCCCAGCTTCCATTGCAATTGTTAAAGCATTACATTCATCCTAAAAATAAAATAATAATAAAAAATTAAAACATCAGGAAGATTACATATATTTTTGTAAGCTAGTAATGCATGTTATATAATCAAAAAATAACTAATGAATTATAAAGAGAAAGCATCATATTGCAACATAACTTATGTTGATATATGTATATTCATATGAATTATTCATATGAACAGATTATGAATCACTAATAAAATACTATATAATACTAACGACACTGAGCACAATTTATTCAAGCAGACAATTTATTCAAGCAATGAGACAATTTATTCAAGCAGTGCAATCAGTTCTTACATTTTGCATTGTGCATTAGTACAAACACAGATTTATGGATGATAAAACTGCACATTACACAAAATTTGTGAAAATAAATTCAATAATCATACTTCTCAACAATTCTTTGTTACAACGTTCATGCATATGCCTCAAGATAAGGGTTTAAACTGATATAAGACATCATAATACATGCAAAAATTAATATTTTAGACTTACATTGTCAACTATAGTTGGATCACATTCTGGATGCGATAACAAAAGTTTAACTATTTCCAAATGTCCATGCTCAGCTGCACACATAAGAGCAGTAGATCCATCTTTGTCTTGTAAATTTACTTCAGCACCAACATCTAGCAACATTTTCACTATCTCTTTCTTACCATGGCTTACTGCTAGCATGAGTGCAGTTTGTCCATTCTAAAAGGGGGAGGAAAGAAGAGATTTAAAGTAAACTGATACAGAAATAATTTTCAGTTAACTCATTAACGCTGCTAATATTCAGTTCACAATAAGGTAATTCCACATATACCCTATATACTCAAATCACACATTCACTGCAAGTACCAAGTTGCAGAGTAATAAATACATACTTCATTACAAAGTTAACATTTTTCTGCTGTTTTAAAATCTTTTCAGCTGACGCACTCAAAAGAAATGTAAAATATTTTACTGTAAGGTAATACTGGTATTCGTCTAATTAGCCAATCCATGCATTTTGACTAATTAACTAGACAATCAAAATCTTCATAAAATCAAAGCACCATTAGTGGTAATATTTTAAGCATATTGCTTCCCACTGCATTACACAGAAAAACATAATTACATAAAGTTAACTGGTAATAACTGACCATATAATGTAATCTCATAAAAAAAGGATATTTAATGCCTATAATAATGATGCAATATACTTCAGTCAGCAACTGAACATGCAATATTCAATAACTGGGGCCACAGTTCAGCAAACAGAATCACAAATGAATAGAAGCTTTGAGAAATGCCAGTTTGATGTTAATTGATGATAGCAGCAGAACAAAAGATTTAGTACATGACATTGTTATCTCTTAAATAAGGTAAAAAAAAAAAATTCATTACAGGTATTACCCACATATCCAGATGAGTAAGTGCTGCATTATCTGACCGAAAATGGGTTCACATAAACAGCTTGTCACAATATCCTAATCAATAAAAATTCAAGTTAATAAAATTTTAAAGAAACTGCTTTTCTGCAAAATAACACCTTCTGGTCTAACAACATGGTGCTCCAGGGAAGTTATTGCACATTTATGTAAACTCTACTGCCTGATCATTAATGGCTTATAAATAGCAATAAGATTTGTCCATTTCCAGCTGCCTATTGCAACTAATCAAAATAATGAAACAGTTAAAAGATGACAATTTAAAAATGCTGCAAATACAGTACAAAGTCCGTAATCCGGACTCGACGGGACTTCGGCGATTCCAGCTTAGGTTTTTTCCGGATTATAGATCATCAATCTAAATCTGGTAAGATGGCATGCAGAAATTATACAATTAAAAAGATTGACCGTAATTTATTAAATAAAGAGCAATTAAAAGCTAAGACTATTAAATAATTACAGAAAAAGCTTTATATTTATTTGTTTTACGTTATAAGCATTTCGTTCAATGTAAGTGTGTTTTAAGGTCGTTTCGTTTTTTTGTGCTAATACTTTTTCTTTAATTCTATAAACAGAACTAATTTCTTGTTCAGTTTACAAAATTCCACTGTTTCAAATCCTGTAATTTGCTGGGTCAAAGAATACCGACTGTCAATTAAAATCTTTCGTTTTCAATAACCTCACTGTCACGTTCTTCACTTTTGGTATGGGTAATTTTTTCCTGAAGCTAGAACCATATACGTTTTGCCGTCTGTGATGATGATTGGGCATTGTCATTGCATAAAAACTTCGTTAATCATCTCATTTATTAAGCTTCTCCCATTTTTTACAAAATCATTACTAGAAATTTCACCTAAGTTTACGATAGCCAAAACCTCAATTCGTGGCTATCATCTCATTATCCTCCCAGGATATGGGTGCTGCCATAAATTTACCAAGCATTTTTAACGTATCTGGAACACATCCTTCCCACTCTTGCTAGTCCCACAGCAGATTTTATGCTAAATCTTTCAAATTCTTGATATTTGCATGTTCAAGAAATTTACAAGATTTTAAAATGCACTTTACATTGCATTTCAGCATGTGCACTATTCCATATCATAGGCTGATGATGCGTACATTTGGAGGGAAGAATAATATGATGCATTTCTTTCACAAACTTAAGTGAAGTATATGCCAACGTTGGACATCAGAACTAGTTTTGATCATCAGGTAAACCAGCCGAATTCAATGTGCCAGCCTCGGGTATAAAAGATTTCACCCTCATCTCACGTTTGGTCCTCCATGCCCTTTTATTTCCATGATATATACGGAAATTATTACTCTTAAATCTCGAGTGGCATGTTTCCGATTACGAAAAGTTGCCTTTGCGTTCCGGAGCATTGCACACATTAAAATTGTAGTTCGCTTTGGAATCTTTTACCAGTTGGAGCCTTTTTGAGAATTGCCAAGGTAGTCCAGTTTAAAGCCGAAATTTGTTCTGGAGATAATTGTTCACTAGTAATGAGTTCAATCATCTGCTAATTGTTCAGCAGCTTCAGTATCAACTGAAGCTCTTTCACCTGAAATTTTTAATTGTCTTATACTATAGCAATTTTTAAATTTGGTAACTCGAATATGTGCCTGTCGAATATGTGCATTCAGTGTTTAAGTTCATTTCTTCACGAAATATTTTGGCTTGAGCCATTGGCATTGGACCTGTCAAAGGCACGCCCTTGCTGTCTGACCCCTTCAATCATTACTTTGTCATGATTGTCCCAATTAGCATAACAAATCCTTTTCTGTTATTCATTGCAAGTGCAATGTCGGAATCCACAAAAAGTTCAAAAAGTTCCTATTTCTTTTTGCTTATGTCATATACAGTTGACTTTCTAATGTCATACTCCTCGCATAATTTTGAGATGGATATATATGGCTTTATCCATTTTTTGAAGCAATGCCACTTTTTGTTTGATGGACATCGAAACATGCTTTCACTTTGTAGATCCCTTGGCAGCTCCAGAGTTGGAAACTCTTTTTGACATAATGAAGTTCAGCTTAATTTTTTTAAGTGCTCTAACAGTCTGCAAAGATATAAGCCGATCAATAGAAGATACGAACAGCGCAATCTGCAACATAACTGAAATGCTAGATCAGTAAAAAATTTTAGCCTAGCTTATACCGTCCGTTATACATTAAACGCGCATGCGTAAATCATACAAAAAAATGTTTGTGGCTTTGAGGTCCAGATTATAGATCATTCTGGATAATGGACATCCGGATAACGGGCTTTGTACTGTATAAACCACTGTCATGTTTTGAACAGCAGATTGTGCAGTGATAAGTAAGATAAGTGGAACAAATACTTCTGACCATCTAACTGAACCTAACTGAAACCAAATCTAAGTTACTTCTTTGCTAAAAAGTAGCACACAAAAAGTTTAAAACTAGTGAATCCACTATGAGATCATGTTTCTGTTGCAATATAAATATGAATAATTTAAACAACATTTAAGAAGCTGTTCCCAAATTTCAATTTCAATTTTTTTCTAGAACACTGCTAGGAAATGTTAAATTTTTACAAAATGCCCATTTTTCTACAATCACATATCGATATTAAAAATGGCCAACTGTAATTCTCAAGAGAGGAACTGTATATGAGTGTGATACGTAACTTCCAGTTTGCTATATACTGAAAAGAATTGCATACTGCAGTAGAAAGCCTGAAATCCGGATAGCGATCTAATAATTGGACCTCTGGACCATCAACAATTGAAAAAAAAAATTTTTTTTTTTCAAACAGGAAGAAAGAATTAGATTCTAAGAGTGGTATCTGCCTTAAGTATATGCTTAATGCTTCACATATTCATAATACAAATTTTTTCATCATAAAGCTTGTGGAGGGTCCTGATTCTTCATTTCACTTCAGCCTTAAATAACACACCTCTATGTTAAAGAAACACAATCATTTATTGGCACAAATCTGTATGACAAAAAATTTGGCTTTGTACTCCCGTTTTTGCTCGATATAATTTCAAACCCAAACATTCTGCCAAAGTTCATCACTGATTTTACACCTATTAATTAGCTTATATCTCTGATGCAAACCTGGTGAAGCATTTTTTATCATTGTTTGCTACACCACATGACTATCAAATCATGGCAGCTAGAGCAATGACTCATGCAGTGATATCTGGAACATTTTTTAAATATTAGTAATTGAATATCAAACAGCACAGTCACCTTTTATGTTCACATTATGCTTGATGATGATTATAGATTTCAGCCAACTGAGCTGCAAAGTGCTCAGTGGAGAATAGCACAGGCTCCAGAAGTCTGTGCATAAGGAACTATCCCTATCGAATGAAAATTGAAATTTTTAAATTACTTAATGCTTAATGCAATTGACATGGAGAAATTTAACAGACATTTCTTTCCATATGTAAAAAATTTATTTTGTAAATGATATTCATAGGCCAAAAAATTGCCTTTAGTGCTGCTTGAATTAAGAATCCCTGACTTGTTATTCAGATAAGCCTTAAATATATGTGGGAAATAGATTTACATATAATAAATAACTAATCTTCTGGCTCTGTTATTCAGATAAACCTTACGAATTTATTTATTCGGGACTCAGACAAGCCTTAAGCATACACGAGAGATTTACATATAATAAATAACTAATATAATAAGTAACTATCATTCTGACTCGACTTCCTCAATGCATGTCAGGAACAAGACAAAATTTAACAGAACTATATGTCTCTATTCCCCAATGTCATGATACATCCCCAACAGTGTACAGCGAAGTATTAAGCTATGCTAAAACGAGACAGTACTGACACCGAGGACTTTAATTTCAATTTATATAGCAAACTGTGCTATTAACTTTCTAATTTGATCCAGCATCTTATTTTTTGCTGGCCATTATTATTACAGCAGTCTTACAAAAATTAAAGTTTGAACTATGGATTCGAAAATACAAAGTAGCTTTATGCTAAATTTTCTGAGGAGTGCCAAAGCCATTCAAGAACTTTTGAAATATTTTATCATAAAATTTGCTGTATGGAGCAATTCAAGGTCAAGAAGGGATGTGTCTGCAAATATTTTTTTAAATGGTTGTTACAATTTATGGCCAGTTACCAAATTTCATTCGAGATGATGATGACAGCCACGAATTTGAAAGTTTTTGGATATGTGAAATTTTCCAATTAATGGAATTTCTAATTAATGAAAAATGTGGAGAGGTGGTAATAAATGAAGATGATATAATAGAAATTTTCCATTGTAATGACAATGCCC